AGCGCCACCTGCGCCCCTAGTTGTGATTACAACAAGGATACTCAAAAAAAAAAAAAATTATAATTTATTATTTAAACTATAAAGTTGTATTAGAAACTATAGGTTTAAAATTAATATTTAAAAGGGTTGTTATAAATAAACTAAAATAAAAATTGTATATTTTTGATTTATAAGTAATTTAAATTTTTTTTATAATCTAAAAATAAATACTACAAAAAAATAATCTATATTTTCAAATATTATTATACCAAATTTTATTTAAATATTCTAAATTGTTAAAAAAATTAAATTATAACATATTTATACAGTCAAACCTCCCTAAATGCAACCTCCTTAAATGCATATATATGAAAAACCTCCCTAAATAAACTAATATAATACTTATAGATTTTTACCTCCCTAAATATATAACCTCTCTGAATACATATTTTTAAAATTTTTTACTATGATCCTGATATCATGCATTTAGAGAGAGTATAATTACAGATTTGTGTAATATGCCAATCAACAATTTTACAAACAAAGAATCAAGTCCTTGCTTATGGTTAGGATAAGGGTGGATGGGATTGGGCAAGGTATAGTTTATACAAGAAATTTTTTTTGTTAGAAGTCAAAAAATGGTTTCATAATCAATATTTTGAGATATCTATATTGCCCGTGTTGTGTACAAATAGAAATTCTCTAAATATAATTGTATAGAAATAGCAAATTAAAAATGACTTATTTGTATTTCAACAGAAAAATAACAGTGTAATGATTTTATTTGATTAGAAAATGTTGCAACACACCGTGTTGTCATCCTTTATTTTAAATATGTATACTCTTTTTACATCAATTTCAGATATACTAAAGTTTTAATCTTTTCAGATTGTAATCTCTCGAATTCCATCTTGATCTGTAACTTTGATCTTGAAATCTAAGAGGTTGATGACGAATCGACTTTTTAACTCATCTATGCATTTTTTGACTAGGACCTTTGCCTCGTCAAGGGTAATGTCTGGATGGTGATATCTATCCAAAATCGACATACAATAATAAGAACCATATCCATGGGCGGCAAAAGGCACTTCGACGGAAGAGCCAAGATAATCGATCCAATACAAATGAGGTTTTGACGTCGTTATATCGTACCCAGCAATGAGAAGGAAAACTGAATAGGGATGCTGGTTATAAATCATATTGTATAAATTAGTAATAGTACGATCAAAAAAAAAAAGTTTATTCGGAAATATCATTTGATCCATGTCATTTATCCATAGTTAAATGGCTAAAATTTTAATGTTTCAGGAAAATATGGACATATTTTCGGCAACATTGATCTATATTATCGTTAAAATGCTCACCCTACTCCTCAAACTTGTTGCCAATTGCTTTCTTGTAAAAGTAGCAGTAGCCTTTGGTGTTAATTCGATACCATTCCTAATTCCATACAGTCTAACGTTTCGCTGGATATATTCCGCAAAATTGACAGTATCCCCTGACTCACCAGAGTACAACAGGATATTATGCTTGTTGAGATCGCGGGACTTGTCCTCAGTAGATTTCATGACAGTAATCGAACGTGCTGCAGAAGTATCTGCAGCGGTAAGCACGAAATCTTTTCCTGTTATGCCGACAAGGAATTCCATTTCTTGGTCTGAAGGTTGAAGTAGATTTATGACATCGACTCTTAAGGGAGTAAATCAGCTGATTTGCAACGTAAGTATGTTACACTAGTCTATTGCAGATATTGCTTATTGCGGTTTGCAAAATTATGTGAAATATTAAAAAAAAACGTAATCACTGATTTCCGATTACTTTGATTGAATATTTTAATTCGCAAATCCTATTTCTGCAAATATGATGAGTATGCAACTTTTATTTCCATAAAAATAATAAAATTTTTACAAAATAATAACTGCACAAATTTTGTCTAATCTAAAAGTCAAAAAAATGAAGAAATCGGAAATCAGCAGAAATCGTGATTACTTTTTTTTTAAATTTCGCAAACCGCAATAATAAGTTACGGCTAATTGTAACTGAGTTTTGACGCATTCCAATGATTCAAGTTTCATCTGCACCTCTATTCTAATCGATTTTACCGGTCAAACCGCTTAATCAAGCAAACTACTAACATACGATTATTTATTTCTTAAAATTACTCCAATATGATAATTTCATATCCAGATATCGGAGTAGTTTTAGGAAATCAAAAATAACCTAACAATCAAATCTACAAATTTCACAAAATTTTGCAAACCGCAATAAAATATAATATTTTTATTTTGTAAATTTTGTAGGCTAAAAAAGAAATCACTCGATTGCTAGATGATTTATGCTATTCCTATATGATAATTTCATATTTGGATATCGTAGTTTTATTTATTGCGGTTTGCAAAATTATGTGAATTTTAGATTAGACAAAATTTGCGTATCTATTATTTTGTAAAATTTTATAGAATATATTTGCAAAAATAGGTGTTGCGCATTAAAATATCCAATCAAATTTTTACAAATGATAAATGCGCAAATTTTGTCTAGTCTAAAATCAATCGGAAATTAGTGATTATTGATCTTCAAATTTCACATAATTTTGCAAACCGCAATAAGAAATCAAAAGTCACCTAACAACCAAGTGATTTCTTTTTTTTTCGATCTACAAAATTCACAAAATTTGTAAACCGCAATAAATTTACGAAATTGTCAACAGTTGTATTGCATCTTGGGCGTTACTTTTAAAAAGTCACGTACTATACTCAGAATTATTTATTATTAATAAAAAAAAAAAAAAAAAAAACATCTATTTTCTAAAAATTTTCTAGTGTTTTTTTCTGCAAAATGGTTGTAAAATTATTATAATAATTATGATTTTAAAACCACTTCCTGGTTTAAAAATAAGATTAATTTATTCCTTTGCTTAGTAAATGTTAGACACACAAATCAGACCATATAACATTCATGGAATACGGCTTTTAAACAACGTATAGCGATCAATATTGTCCAGGGTAATAACTTGCTTTTGTTTACCTAAAACATTATCTCTAGGATCGTCGAGAATCTGACTGCTTAATTGCTATAAATAAGAAATTGATTAACGTTCATTTTTATCTAGAGTAAATGGACCGATAAAAATAAGTACTTACCTCCTTTTCCTTTTCGACGTGAGAGTCCAATTCTTCTGTTCTAGCACGTTCTTCGGCTTCACGACGTTCCATGTCCGCATATCGTCGGTGGGCAAACCCGAGAATATTAATTCCAACCAATAATTTTATGAAAATTAATCTATAAACATTAAACAAAAGCGATGAATTATTAGAATTTGATAAAATTGGAACAGAATTAGACCATAAAAACTATAATAAATAATAAAAAGTACATCACAAATACGGCAATGCCACAAAAGATCCATACACCACTAGGCTGTGTGAAAACATATGCAAAAGCCAAATTTGATCGTTCTTCAGTATCCATTTCTTGAATTGAATCTGAAATCATCGTCACAGTTTGTGACGAAACTCGAATTGTCTATGTAACATATTGAATTGATTATTACAGAGGCACTAAAATGTAAAAATTAATAAAGCATATTTATTTGAAGCTTACCAGGCATGCAAGAGGGAGTGCAGCGAAACCGATCCGGCGTGAAACCATCAAGGACTGATCAAAAAATTTATAAGCATAAGAATAATAAAAAAATTATAAATCTAATAAATCAACAATCGCATTTATTTTACCTTATTTTCAGAGTTTTGTTTATCATTATTCCCAACTACCAAATCTCTTGAGAGTATGTCAATAAAACGATCATAAATGCTTGGTCTGATATGATTAAATTTAGTGATAAAGGCGTGCTTTAGCCAGTCGACCAATAATTCAGATGCAAACACTATAATCACTGGGGTCAAAAGTGTTTCGACAGTTGTCATTGCAGGAAATAAAGGAATGAATGATGTTGGCAGAATAGAAAAAGGAGATGTTGGAGAGCCAGAAAGTTCGATCAGATTGCGTACTGTGATGACAGTTAGAAAAAGAGCGAGTTGGAACCGCTCTACAATGTCTGCAATATTATAAAATAATGAACAAGTTATTATTCAATGTAAACTAGACTGTCGATATGCAATTAATGTAAACTTGCCAGAACAACTCAATTGGAATAAATTTTCTTTCTCAAAACGTTTAAAGACTGATCCCTTTATTTCAATAAATTGGTTTGATAACAACAACGTGAGTAATGCATTCGAGTACGAATTAATCGCCACGTTAAGGGTAATCGCAAGATAGAACAAAATTATCGTATGAGCCACTGTAAAAATTTCAATATATAATTAAGGAAATATAAAAATATAATAATTATAAACAGTCTATTTTCTATTAATTTTTAAAAAGATACAGATATAGCAATAAGCTGCACAGAAATGGCTGATGGGTCGCAAATGTCTACCGGAATAAGGCACTGATCTTTTATCACCAAGCGTAGACTTTGAAAACAGAGAGCTTAGGATGTCATCTCCAAACGCGCAACAAAGCTTATCGAAGATCTAAATTATTTTAAAACAATAATTATAAGATATTGAGATAAATTGTAAATCAAGATTGTTAATTACTGATTAGCTAGGGTTGTTGATGGAGTACTCTAAACTTGAGTCTTGAACTGGAGTGTTTTTATGTTTATAATTTGAAGTACTCCATTAACAATCCCATTATTAGCACAAATATCTTACTTCAAGAACGTTGAAGATAACATATAATTTGATTACAGACTGACCACGAATTGAATGATACATCTGTGCTGCATCAACGTTTTGTAGTGAAATGCAAACGAGAATGATTAAAACCCCTTTAAGCAAATCGCATTTTTGTGATATATTAAGGTGGATAAATCTTCAAAAATTTACAGTCAGTAATCGTTACAAAAAAACAATTTTAATTTTAAGAAAAAGGAAGTACCTTTTCTCTTCATGCCTAAAATTTGATATGAACTTGACAGTTACAGTATACAATACTAGCAATACACGTAAAGGAAGGATCGTAAATGTATATAAAAATGAGTCCATACAGATGAAAAACCCAAACGACATAAGCTAATATAGAACTTTTGTTAAAAATCACGCGCAATTAATCATTAATGAAATTATCGAATGTTTTAACAAACCTTTTCGATAGCCCAAGGGATTCCAAAGAAATTGATCACCCTTTCTCGTTTAAGTTCTTCAAAGGAATCAAAATCAGACGCCAATAATTCATCTTTAAAATGATTCCATAAAGTAAGGAAAGGGTCATTCGACGATGTAGTCGACTCTGAGGACATTGAATTCATAGGAAGACTTTCATATGATTGGCTGATTCGAATCAATTACTTTGGGTAATTAATTATATTGACGTTCGTACTTTTTAGGAATGTAATTCCTTAAATGCAAAAATGAGTACGTACTGTCAAGTGAAACCAGTGATTTCTAAATATAGAATTCCTTACGCACATGATTATTTTATATTTTTAGATTCATTTTTTACGCGTTGTTTTTCTTTTTCGTTCATACCATCTTTAACAATAATTAACACTGTTTTTTAGGAATCGTAGTATTGAAAATAGGTGAGTATAGGTGCTTTGAAATTATCAGTTTTTTTTTTTAAAACAAAAAAAGATAAAAAAAAAATGAAAATCCAAAATTTGAAAAAATTGTGAAAGAAAACTCTAGGAGTCTAACAAAGATTTGTTGGAAGCTGAGTTCACCAATTATGATGCAAATAGTTTGGACTAGATGAGTATTTTCATCTAAATTTGGTCTGCAAAACCTATATATTTTGTGTATAATTATATATATTTTAACAAAAAATGATTTTTAATTACAGAAAGCCAAACTTACTACGATAGAAATACACCTACATATCCAACTTTTGGAATGCGTTATACTACTAAAACTAATGCACAATCTCAATTAAGTGGAAAATCGCAGTTAAAGGGTATAAATTTCATAGTAAAAATCGGCGGGCATTACTTATAAAATTTTAATAGTAGTGGAATCTCAAA